AGCAACCCAAGGGCTCAGACTAACCTCTAAACAGAACTTAAACAGGCTGAAACACCAACATTTCTGAGCAGCTTTATTAAACAAATGCACAGATGGCTAACTTCCCTGCAACTCTGACCTTGAAAACAAAACTCACTCCAGGCTTATTTACCCCTCCCTTTCCCATTGACTGAATGCACTTATGTGGGGTGTTGTGAAATTATAAATTCTTTGGGGCACCACCTCAGTTTCTCTAAATTCTGGAAGTAAGTTCTTACTCTGCAAAATCAACAGGGTTATGAAGTATTCGAGCTGACTGTACTTACCCTGTTTGAAATCAAGAACGAACTACAGCATTTACTATAAAAGCATGATGTTTACGTTGTTTGGGTTTTTTTGCTGCAACTGAGAGCTCTGCCACTGATCTCAGTGGCATCCCCCTTCACTGAGACTGCTGCTCTTCAGGGAGAGAGCCATTTCTTACCCTCTCATGCAGTGGCCACCCTGATCCAGGTTGCACTTTTTAAATACCGCTATAGTGCAAGTTGCTGATTGTTCAGTAATGTGGGAAGACTCAAGCTGCAGAGACACAGTCCTTTTCCTTAATCTGTTCTGACTCATCACTTCTTCAGGGTAAACAGTGGAAGGTGGAAACTCACATTCAGTCCCAACACAAGGATCTAAAGGACTTCATAAATCTGAGTGACATGTTTCACAGGGATATTAGTGAAAATGAAATGCATTCTTGCAAGAACTTTCTGCCAGTGAATAAAAGCAAGTGCAGAGCCCATATAGTTGGGGGCAGGCAGGGGGTGCGGGAAGGGAAGAGTGTCCAGAATAGCCTCAGAGAACAAATTTCATCCCAAGGAATAGGAAAGGATACACACATCCATAAAGTCATTCTTCTCTGCCATGATATCACAGGTTTTTTAAGTGAATAATTAGGTTGATGAGCTAATTCCATTACCGCCTAACACAGTGATTAATATTGCCTGACCGTCCTTTTGCAGTGCTCTCTACCATCTACATACTGCCTTCCATTTTGTTGATTGATGGCTCTTTGGGTCAGGGACTGTCTTTAGGGTTATGTTTGTGCCATGGGCCTGTGGTTCAGGACAAGGCACTATGGGAATAGCTCGTCGTGCCTGACTCTGTGGGGTTCAGTGCATGGCACCAGCTTCCTGTGCTTCCTTCTCCTTCTGCAAAATGACCAGAAAACCTTCTTCTGCAGGAGGAACTTGATGGCTCTTTGGGTCAGGGACTGTCTTTAGGGTTATGTTTGTGCCATGGGCCTGTGGTTCAGGACAAGGCACTATGGGAATAGCTCGTCGTGCCTGACTCTGTGGGGTTCAGTGCATGGCACCAGCTTCCTGTGCTTCCTTCTCCTTCTGCAAAATGACCAGAAAACCTTCTTCTGCAGGAGAAGCTATGCAAGGACTAGGCCTCACTTAGTAAAAGTTACTCACGACCATGTTCATTCCTTATGAGCCACACAAGAAAAGGAAAGAGAGAGCATGATGCGTCCTACCAGGACAAAATAACTAGCCCTGATCAAATATTTGGGAACTCTCAGCATTTTTTCATGAGCCCTATTGCCATATCTAAAATGAAGACGAGTCTTACCAATCATATTTATAAATATCTTTTACAAGCAAGTGTTCCAGACTTTGAGAGAAAGAGAGAAAAAAACTGACATGACTAGAGTTTTGATTTAAATAGGATCTTACTCCGCAAATACTCTAAGAAAGATACAAACACTTCTAAGCTACTGTGATCATTTAAACTGCAATCAAAATATTAAAATATTGGTTTGAAAAGTGTTTTAGTGGTAACACATATGTAGGGAAATATATTGGATAGAAAGGAGGAAAGCAAAGAGAAGATGGAGCAGAGCGGGACACCTGAGGTCCTGCAAGCTGAGTTTGCTGCTCTCAATAAATTAGAAAGAAAGAAACGAGAAGGCGCAAGCCCTCTCCTGCAGCAGCAGCTGCTGCCACCTTGATGTCCAGCATCAAGGATGGATGAAAAAGGCAACAGTATCAGGGCAGTTTTGCGGCCTACTTTGCCAAAGTCAGCTCTCCTGGAGCCCTTCTAACCCTCTGAAAGGTTTTGTTCATGTTCCCAGCTGCTGTAGACATATATTTACTTGGTTTGAATGATGTGTCCTTCCTGCATGTTCCCACTGGGCCAGCTGACTGTGAAAAGATATTCAGCAACAAAGCTATTCACTGCAACAAGATGCTTTGCTTGAGAAATTCTGAAGCAGAGATATGATCTGAAATTGTGCATCCAGCTTAAAACAGAGACTTAACTGTCAGGGTGGAGTCAGGTTATCTGTATTACAGAAGATAGAAAAGTAGTCAAATACATATACATTATTTACATTACGCATACATAAGCCTATGCACCTTCTTACATGCACAAGCAATATTTCATTTTTATGCTACTTCTGTTCCATGAATGGCTTATTGGGCTGGATTTTTAACCAAACACCATTAGCTTAAAACATCAAATGATGAGACATCAAAGAGAAGTATTTATTCACACCCAAAAAAGTGATTCAGAGTTTTGTTCATGAGAACAAGCAGACAGAGGAATTTGGGGAGACAAACAGCTAAAACTCCTAACATTAACAACCGCCCTGTGAGCTGCCAACCAGGAGTTGTTCACAGAGTAGCTCAGCATGTGGCTTCAAAACACTGATATCAATTTTACATTAGGAAAACAAACCAACAAACTCTTTTCATTGTAGGAAAAGCAGATCACTGGGAAAACTGGGATGTCCTCAAATTGAGATTTTTTTAACATCAGGCTCATCATTCAGGTTTAGAGGACCTTGCTTTTGGCCAGGAGCATTTACAGACCTCTTGAGGTTCCTTCCATTCCTGAAAGCCAGTCATATGTAGCTCACTTCCCTCTTCTGCCTGGGCTGCCTCACCTTTTTATAGATATATATTATTCAGACTTTTGAAACTGAATTAGCCTGATTTATGAAGTGTTTATAGTCATATTTTATCCTGAATAAAATGACCTCGATATCATCATGTGGAAACAATAAGGGAGGGAATTAATCCAGACAGTATTATAGAATTTCTACATATTTCCAAGTGGGTGCTGTAAGGTTTTCTGACAGCAGACAGGTGATAGACCAGTCAGTCCTTAACTATCAGGCAACAAGTCTTTCTTTCATGATGGCAGTTTCACAAGAGATGGAGGGGAAGGTGTGCACCTGAAGGGGGAAAACACTGGATTTTCTTCTTGTTTAGAACAATTCTCTCCATACGTTAAACACAGAAAAAACACCCCTCTGTTTTAATACAGTAAATAAACCAAACAACCACCAAATAAGCGCTTTGGATTCTGCAAGATCTCTTGTACGTGTGACACATAACTGAATGTAGCATTTCAAGCATATCATAGTTGAAGATCCCCATCCTCCCCAGACTAGGTTTTTCCATTTTAGCATGAATGTTCATGTTCCTGTATATTCTTTTTCACCCTCCCCTAAGGTCTGTCTCACTCAATCATTTTAGCATGATGATAATTACAGCCAAGCCATGGAATGAAAATAGAAGGCGGCTGGTAAGATAATTCTGGACGTCATCTGGATGCAAGTGAAGCATGAGTACCTAATTCATTAAGGGAGCAGGAGGATTAGGGTGGTGCTGAGCATCTATTCTGTTTAATTTGACATTCCATTAATTTACTCTTTCAATGGACAGGATGGGGGGTGCAACATAATTATAGCTCAGAGTCGGAAACCTCTGGCATGTCTGAAGACTTATTAGTTTGGTGGCAGTTGGCTGGGAGAAGCATGGCAAGAGAGATCAGCAAACTTTGCACTCGCTGTACTCATTACGCTTCAGTAATAAGCTGCGTGTGGGACTGGTGGAGTTCACCTTGGAGATTAAGGACACTGCCTCTGTGTAGCGAATGACTTTCCAAAAGCCTTGAGAGCGGAAATTTCCAAGGATGCTTCACAAGGTGAATCTATTTTGTATCGGACAAAACAACTGCTTTAAAACCTGGATGGAAGTTGTATGATCCTAATTCTCTTCTTAGACTGAATAGCATTGCTGAAAATGCAAACTCCTCTTCCTAGTAAGCCTCTTTTCTTGCATAGTTACTCAAACAGTCACAGTGATTCACGGATCAAATTTTACTGCGAACAAATGTTCAACTGCAGCAAATCCACAGGCCCTGCAGTTTTGACGTGCATTCAGCCTGAACAGGCAGTGTGCACGTCCTACCTGCACCTCCAAACCACTGCTCTGAAACATGCAGGACACCATGTTTTCACAGAAGCCTTCGGGAAAAAGAAACATCAGAAAATATCTGTCCCCTCACCTCTAGGTATCAAAATAAATGGACAGATTTTTCAAGAGCTCTCAAAATACACCAGCAATTGGGGAATCTGACAATTTGAAAAGTTGTCCCTAATGCTTTACAACACTAAAAACAAACCCTTTAACACATCTCCCACTCAAGCTCTTACCTCACATTGAAGTCACATCAGATTTTATTTCTTTGGTAGAGAAGTAGAGGTGTGAAAAGAGATTTAATAGGAAACCCTGTTAATATGTTTCTCACAGAAAAATGGACATCTTGATACCATATTGATTTAGTCTATTGGACACCCCTGGCTATCACAGATGCAGCTTAGAGAGAAGCTGACTCATTAAAAATGACAGAAGTCACAGTACCTAGACATTTAGATAAACTTAGGACATACAAACAGACAGACCTTTTAACTCCATTTCAATTTAATTAGCTTAGGGCTGGCAGCCAGATGGACAGTATTAGAGACAGGCACCCTCAGTTAAATCATGCAGCAAACAGAGCATCAGGAACTTGTCGTCACCATCCGTCAGATATAGTATCTGAGGGAGTCAGAGGCCTGCTGCATTCAGATTGTAGCCTCCGGCAAGGCAATGAAGAGAAGTGACTGTTACCTTTGGTCCTGCAATACATTTAAGGGCCTGCTGGAACTCAATCGAGACATCCGAAGAGGTAAAACCCACCTGGCAGATGAAGCCAGTGGATGAGCACTGCCGAACCCAGAGACTGAATTTCCTCTTTTTCCTCTTGCGCAGCTCCCTCTCCGTGCACGTGGCAATGAAAACAGGATCCTCGTCAATCAGGGGCTCATGTAGTACCTGCAATTGGCAAGAAGGCAGGGGGAGGGGGGGGGGGGGAGGCAGCAGGGTATTTTTTTTGACCCTCAAAGGTGAGAAAAGGGGGGGGGGGGGGGGGGGGGGGGGGAGAAACAGAAGAGTATGTGATTGCTGAAAAAAATGGTGCTTTAAATTCTTCAAGGAAATACAATCCTTGCATTGTGCTTGTGCGCATCACCTCATACAAAGGAGCAAAACCACTTTTGTTCAATGCTACACGTGGTTTGCAAACACTGCAAGGCAAGGCTCTCACTTCTCACTATCAGCTACAGTTTAACATCCCTCTAAAATGGGGCCTCTACCTCTCACTATCAGCTACAGTTCAACATCCCTCCAAAATGGGGGGGGGGGGGGGGGGGGATTGTTAGCAGCATCCTTCTCCAAGCTTCATCATCAGCTTCATTTTGTTTGGCAGAATGTCTTCCACCCAATCATCCCCTACAATATCTTGTAAGGTACGCTCCTTGGTTACAGCAAAGGAAAACACACAGCAAAGAGGGAGAGAAGTTAAGGGAGAAAAAGATATTTTCTGCTGCTACTTAAGGAGGTGGTGAAGAGACGGAAAACATTTTTCCTGGTGGCAGCAGCTTCAGGGAAGCCTCTTGTGCCTCAGGAGCTGAAAAATTTGACAAAAGAAGACAGAAAGATAAGGGATCAGAAGCAGGAATAGAAAAAGATAAGGCAGACTGGAGCAAGTAATGGAAATCTGTGAAAGTGAAGCAATTTCTGCATTCTGCATCCAGATGATGTAAGTGGTTCCCTGTTCCTTATAGCTGTTTTGTTACACTTCTCTCCACTAATTCTGTAGCAAAGTCGTTAGGTTTTACACTACAGAACCCACCTATAGAAAAGCACTACCACCTCCTTGCAGCTCACAGGTAGCTGTGCATAACATACATATCCCTGACTGCACAGCGTGTGAGTTGTCTAGCAAGTCACTTGTGAGAGTATAAATGCTTGGAAACTGTTGAAAGGTCTCAGCTGATGAATGCTGACCAAATTCAGACATCTACATCTAAATCAGAGCAAGACACTGCAGGCTCCCCTCCTAGTACAGGAGGGGAAAGCAGTCCCAGCAGGCCATTAATTCATACCCTTTGAAAGACGTGTAAAATAAGTCAGATGGGTTATGATCTATAGGAGCCCATTCTTTTCCAGTGACCATCACCCCAGGAGACAGGCTCAGATACAGGTATCCACAATGCAGAGGCTCTCACCCTCAGACCGACCCTTTCCACATCAGCACGTCTGCTACTTTTGTGCACATCTGCACACAGGCAGTGGCGGAAATGAGAACAAAGCTGCATTAAACCTGGGAGCGATGCTCGCAGGAGAGAGTGGTGGGTAAGCAGTTAAGCGCCAGTGATGAGCAGCTGCTGGCCTCCTGAATACAAGACGTTCGTTGAACATCACTCTGTCAGCCCAAAATAGGCACCCGTGCCCTCCCCAAGCAGTGGTGGCTGCAGACTTTCATTTATACACACTCCACTTCTTAAACGGCTCATAAAACATTCACAGGGCCATCTGAAAGCACTCTTGTGAAATGTTCAAATTATACACCAAAATGCAGATGCGAGCAAGAAGAGCTGCACACAAAGCTATTTGTTCTTAAAGCTGCAGCTGCCCCATTTCCCCACTGGAGCCAAATCCTCTTCCTCTCTCAAGGTCCACATGAAACACCGCTCTTCCTTTCTGAAGGCCACCTGGGGCATTTCACACTTCCACCTCAGGGAATTCTGACAGCGTTTTGCAAATATTAAACATCCTCTCATTCACTTTCGCCTTTCTGCTTCTTCCATGCAGAAGGGAGGACCACATCCCTTGGGATGGGGTTGGATACACTGTTAAGAATTCCTCAGCCTCTGGAAAGGCCCTTTTATCTGCCAGATCCCACTGAGTGTTGTGGTTCAACTGTTATAATCTCCCCCCGCATTGGATGGAGAGCAGCAGAAAGAAAAGTCTGTATAAGCATCACTTGAGGACATTTTTTACCCTCCATCATGTGCTCAGCTCCCTCCTCTGCACCACAGCATCAGCTCTCCTCACAGCAGCTCTACTGCATCCTGCTTACCCTTCACGCTCTTTCTGCCTTCTAAGACACAGTAAGGCCTGTCAGCCTTAAATTTAGAAAGCAAATCTGAATTTTGAAAACCTCTCCCCATCTTCCTCTTCTCCCTGCCCACGCTCAGCCCTGCTTTCCCCTAGGACCCAGAGCTTCCCCTTCTTTCCCCTATTCCGAATGTTTAAGTCACTCCCATTTCTCCGTAAGAAGACTAATGCTCCACCAACATCCCTACTGAACTGCTGGGAAGAAGGAACGAAAATGGAAACAGAGTAGGGAAAGATTTGCTGTTGCTGCAAAGAGGGAATGTGGACAGGCAGGGAAACTGAAATGAAAACCCTAGAGCTTGCTCTTCTTGCTTCCTCCAGAGAGAGTGGGGAGACAAGTGTTGTCACCCCTCCATATGCAACCACTGCTTCAACAGCTGTAAAGGACTTTGCAAGCAAGGCACACAGGGCTGTGCCTGCTGCTGGAACAGCTGATCCCCATCTTATTTTCAAAGAGGGCAATTTGTTGCTTCTGGCACTGACATGGTTTTCTTATAACAAAAGTTAGCCCTGTTGCCACTGGCCAGTCCTATTAGTTTGTTCACCCTCCTCCATTCTCAGTCTCCTTGCTCCTCCTGAAATCTCAAACCCATCTCTGCCAAATCCCCATGCAAAGTGGTATTTGCTCCTTCCCCATTCCCCATTCCTGCTGTCGCTGCAATACCCGCTTTTCCAGCAGTGAGCTTACTGCCCCCAGGCACATTCTTTCCTGCTTCTCATCTTCCTAGATAAAAATACAGGTTTAATTGACTCCTACATGTACTCCTGGCCGCCTCTTCACCATCTTTGACTCACTCCCCAAGCCCTCCCCTCTTCCTATTCTGACTTCCTTTGATGCAAGATATCTTGTGGATTTCTTCATAGAAATCGTCTGTGTTTTCTTCTCTCAAATCCCCAGTTTTGTTTAGGTCTAAGCAGCTCCTCATCTAGTTGCTTCGATCCCCCACAGCTATCCCACTGAGTTGTTTTTTTCCTCTTTATAGCCATCCTCACCCCTGCTATATCTTCTTGCCAAGCTTTCACTCTTTGTTTTCCCCTCAATATGTACGTGCACTCCAAGTGTTGGAGTCCCATCTTGGAGTCTTGCCTCTCCAGCAATTGCTCCATCTCGCAACATCTTTCATTCACTAACAAAACAGCTAGCCACTCTCAGGAGTGCCTTTCTTTCTTCTCCATTTTAGATCATCTCTAAAGCTCTTTCCACTCCACAGTTCCACCCATCCTGCTCTCATCAGAGCCCAAATAGGCTTCTAGGGAAAGCCCAGAGACACTAACTCTTTTGTACTTGGACTGCCTGGACTCCATTGCCTTAGATAACGAACCAACATGTCCTTGCGATCGCTCATCTTCTCTTAGCTCCATGGCCATCCCCAACACAGGCTGTCTCTTCAGCCTGTTTCCTGGAGAAACTGCCTCAGCTTGCCTTGTCTCTGGCTTTTGGTGGGTAACATCCAGTTGCAAAGAGTCCCCTGGGTAACTGCACCTCTATGCACAGATTCAGCCATTGCTTCTACAATAGTAGCTTGTGCTTCTGCTTCTTTGCTCCAAAGCTCCTCCTGTCTAAACTAAATTCTCTGCTAGTATCTGACATCTCTGCTTGCATACCTAGCTGTCAGTTCTGATTTTATTATGCTGCATTTGAGAGCATCTCCTTCCCCTTAGGATAACCCCTTACTATCTCCTTTTTTGGTTACTGCAGACATCCCTCTGCTCCTGCTGCAGATCTCACTGGCCAGTGAATCTGAATGTCAGCCTTTACCTCCAACTCCTTGCAAGGTCTTCTGGGCCAGGCAGTGCCTGCACTTTCCATGCTTTCTGAGTAACAGCTCTAAAATGTTACTCATTTTAGAGTAACAACCCACCCACCCAGTCAAGTTCTCATCCAAGCCCACAGCCATCCTGCAACAGTTCTCCTTTTGGCCTCACCATATGGCAATCCTGCCCTACAGATTGCTGCTGGAAAGCCATTCTAGTCCATCACACTGGCCACATCACTTTTCTCTATTTCTCTCTGATAGCTCTTCTCCAATATATCAGACAGATTCTTTCTCTTCAAAGTCCTGTTTGGCCTATCCACATTTTACTGATCCTCTTTGCCATCATTCAAAGGTTAACTCCCACCTCTGATGGAGCCATGATTTCACACTCCTCTGCCCATTTGTTCAGTCTTCAATCGACTCTCTTTAAAGAAAAAAAAAATCAGTTCTTACAGCACTCCATTACCATTAGGTAATTTAAAAATAGCCATAAATGTTCATCATTTTCTGTTGTCAAACTCTCCCTAAAATCTGGCTTCACCAGAGGATCAACTGGCCAAGAGCTACAGGACATCAGAAATTTACCTTGCTATTCAATATTCTTATTGCTCCTCTCTCTGTCTTTCTCTTGCTGCATGTCTTATACTTGGCCGACGTCCTGTGAATACTTAAGTCTTTGCATTACACTCACAGAAGCCCTAAGACAGAAGAGTCCTGGTTTGGGACCAGCACCTTTACTCACAAAGAATCATTTTGAAAACAGGAAAACTGAGAGATAGAGGTGTGACTTGAGCAAGATCTTATAATTCGGAAATGCCCAATACCAAATAAACATTTAATCATGAGGACACAAAAGAGCTATGAGTTGATCAGCCTGGTTTTGCCCCTCTATGTTTTCAGAGAAGCTGTAGTCTAACGCTGTGAGCTGGTTTGGAAGAACTATGTTGAAACTGCTTAGCTGTACCCTATGGTACCACCAAGAGCGGAACACAAACAAGCCCCCTAGTAACTGGCCAAACTTTAGCACCATGCCCTTGGAGCAAGAGGTTGGAGTTATGTCTCTCTTTTTGCCAGGGAGTTCACTCCTGCCTGAGGTAAGGGCTTAAGCCGACTGTTCCCAGCTGACGTTTCACTGGGCAGATGCAGAACTGTTTGGTTCCAAGATGCCAAAGAGAAGGTTACTTTGGAGGGAGAGGGAAGAGGAGAGTGCCCAGGGTTGTGCTCCTGACCTCTCCCATGCCAGTCAGGGGCAGCCAGAGACAGCAATCCTGTCTAGTCACATCCCGCTGACAAGCATATAAATACTCAGCAGGCACAGAAGGATATTTGAGCAGTGATGTTATTTTCCTGAGCTCCTCTGGTTTCTGGAATTCAGTGTATATCTTTGGCAGGTGAGTACCCTTGAATTTGTTGCAGTATACCTCCTGAGCTCAGGCAGAGCATCCTCCCTGTCTTCAGGCTTCCACTTGTAGACAGTAGCACAGCTACGAAGCTAAGCAGCAAAGAGACGACACCGATTCGAGGAACAGACCCCAAACTCCACCTCTTGTTGCTCAGGTAGAGGCAGCAGATATTTATACAGAAGACATTGGGGGGGATAGGATGCAGCGAATATTCCTGTCATTCCTATCTAATCTAGGTCAGAACGCCATTTTTTTTACTTTGGAAATTGAAGCTAGTGCTGCTGATACACAATTATAACGTTCTGGGCTTTCAATACCTTCATAAGCTGGAGAGTAATTATTTCCTTTTGTTTGCTCAGTATATTTAGAAAAATAATTATAATTCACTAGATTGTTTTCCTTGTTTTGGTATATTGGCATTGTTCTCTCTCTCCCTCCGTTTCCTTTCATAGCAACTGTGGTGTCATTTTTGCATGGACTTTTTTTTTGGGGGGGGGTTACACATGAGAAAAAAAAACCCCTAAATATTTTCTGACAGAAATTCCACTTGAAGAATCTTTTCTAGCTCTCCAAAAAGAAAAGATCAAATCTATAGAAGAAATAACTGTGAAGGCAGGTGTTGCACTGCCTGCTGGATGCAGACTGTCTGCTCTGTCCATAGGGGTGAGTTAAACATGGCATCTTCCTAACCCATGTTCTGTGAGTCCACGCTGCCAGAGGAAGAGAGTCAGTAACAAGTCTACCTACAAGCCCGAACAGCCTTGCTGCATTCAACAGCAAGGAGCCCAAGTCATTCCTCTGCTTGATGCTACGTACTTACAAGACGTTAGTCTAAAGCTCGAGCATAGATCGTGGCTCAGGCACAAGCCACCCGGATACCACAAGTCTCATGTGTAAGATACAGGTGTACTTTAAGCAACAAATCCATTTTGAACTTGGGATTCCAGGTATCACTGATTACAGAAACCTGGGCCCCTCTTCCCAAAATGCTTTCAGAGACAGCACATCCAAAAGCCCATCTGAATGGGTCTTTCCCCTTGGCTTTTCCCTTTGTTTCTGTGCAACTGGGTTATTATTTTTAATTATTTCTATTATTTCTCACTGGGCCTGACATTCTGGGTTTGATGTTTACTGCAGTCTGCTAATCTGCACTTAAGACAATTTCCAGGGAGAGGTCTTTCCTGCTGTTTTGAGCAGATGGGGTCCACGTCTCTTGAGACGGGTATCGTGCAGCTCTGCCTGATGGCACCCAGGAGGACGTTAGGCACAAGGCTCCTTTCAGGAGGAGGCCTGGAACATCCCCCAGTAGGCTACTGGTGCTACACTAGAGTATTTTTAACAACAGATTCAAAACCTTTTTCGTTCTCACAGAGTTACTTTTGATGCTGTATTTTAGTGCTTTTTGTTCCACTCAATACCACTGAAACATGCTGTACAGAAATCACTGACGTAAACACTGACAAGGGAGCAGAGAAGTGGAGTGGGAAGGAAGAGAATTGGGCTGTCACTACTTCTTCCCCCTTTCTTTTTTTTAAAGTAGCATCTCTGCTTACCAAGCTCAGCGCAAGCATACATTTTGCTTGTGGAGATTTAGATGTTTTGCCACTGCAAATAGGACACTATGATTTTCTCAATTCAGTTCTCAAACCTTGCTCGGGAGGGGGGAAGGGAAAAGAGATATACATGCAAATCAAATTTTATCCTTTAATGGATTTGCACTCACAGCATGTCCCACAGCACACCATTATAAGCATTTACATTAGACACAGTGATCACATTTCTGAAGTCTTTATCTTCCGCCCATTGAAGTCAGTGGCCATAAGGATTAGATTTCATATCTTAATGAGAGCTGGGTCCCAACAATACCGTGTCTCTCACTGCCTGTTTTGTCTTGATGGAAATGCACCTTGCTGACATGGCTTAGTGAGAACCCTCCTCCCTTCTCTACCGTAAACAGCTTTTTAGACAGCTGTGTTGTTCTGAATTATGCAGGTATGATTTTTATTTGCTATAAAACAGAAAAAAAACCTGTAATCACTCCCAATTTACTTTAGGCACACTTAAATGGATGTGATGCATGTGGGCAAAAATGTGATGCTTCAGAGGGGAAACAGGAGGAAAAAGAGGACGATGGATATAACACTCTTTCCAAATGTCTAGGTGAAATCTACATATTCTGAAAACAGTTGATGATTGAGAAGTTTTTTCAAGCAGTAACATATTTCATGCTTATTCCTTTTTCTTTCCAGACTTCTGAATGTGACCAGTAGAAACAGCTCCAAAAGGAGATCATTTATACTGGAACAAAGTTTACATAGTCTATGATGAATGTTAAGAAAAGATTTCTTTGCACTTTTTTAAAAAAAATTGTTCCAACTGTACAGCTGTAGTCAGACAACCATCAGCTACATAAGTTTCTATATTTAGTTCCTTACATTGTCTGCCCAGTCTACAGAGCAGTCTCCCTACAGAATGGCATTCTGCTGTACCCCTAATTGTATCTGGAAATGAAAATTCATTGGTATTCCTGGTAGTCTAGAAATATTTCCAGTTCACTGGCACTTTGGTTGTAAATCCACACATCATTAAGTTTTTCCACAGGAGCATCACCCGTCATTAAAACCCAGAACTGGCACAAGGCACAGGCACTGCTGCTGAGGGCAGCTGACAACCACAGCGAGCAAAGGCACCTGCCCCCCTGCTTATTTTCCCTTTGCCCAGTCGTGAGGAGGTAACTGTGCTGCTGGACCATATGGCAAGCACCTACTGCTAAGGTCAGGGACGGTCACTTCTCGCAACCTCAGCTCCTGCATCCAACCCTCAGCCTGCAGCAGGAGCAGCTACAGGTTTTCCCTCCAGCCCAGCTGCACCAGCTCTGCCCTTTCCACTCTCCCTTACAGGAGCAACCTGCAACCTCCCGTCCTCAGGATAGCAATACCTAGTGGTGCCAACCTCACTGAGAAGTCTCCAGGCTTGTTTAGACCACTAAAGCGAACAGCCCCAGCTCAGAGAGTGTCATTCCTCTTGAAACATACCAGGTACCTGCACTGCAGAGCTGTAAGTCAGACATTGCTGAGCACTCGCATAGGACAGTGCTGTTTGCTCTCATGTTTCATGGAGGCACCGCAGCGTGGCTTCACACTGTGAAGCCCCAGCTCTTTCTTCGGGCAGCTGTGCTCTGCGCTTTCAGTCATAGCAAGACAACCTAGAGCACGTAGGTTAGATGTTCCCTGCCAAAAGGTTAACTCTTACCTGGGCTTGCGAAGGTCTAAAAGCTGAGTCAAAGCCATTCTGCAGAGAGTCCAGAAAAGGCTGGATTTTGTAGAGGCCATGTGTTGTCTGGCTTGAGCGGAAGGCCACAATGTGGAAGTACTTCAGGATCTTCTCAAACCGTGATTGTGTCATGATAAGTGCAATGCTCTTGTTGCTGTAGAAGCCGCTGCTCCAGATGCTGAGAACGGACTCACAGTGGTGGATGCTGGTTGATATCATGTAGCCTAAGAAGGCCTTCATTTCCGTCAAGGTGACATCAATCCAGGCATCGTCACTACCAAACCTCTCCTGGTACTTCTTGGCATACATGTTGGTTTGGACCACCATATTCTTTAGTACATTGTCAGGGACAAAGAGTTGAAAAAAGTCCATGGCACTGGCAGTCAGGGGCATTTTTCGTGTTGGACCTAGGACAAAAGCAAGAAGGGAAGATAAGCTCTCTCCTGATGATTACAAGGCATGTCCAACACCAGCAATTTAAAGCAGGATTAACTTTCCTAAAGCAGGAAAACAAGGCCAAAGTGATGGCATGTCAGCTAATTCCTTTGAAAGTGTACCCACTGTCTGACAGATCTCATCAGGAAACTTCCCCCCTATATCCTCTGTCTTCCTCCTATATGATAGAAATACAACACACTGAACAGTTTCCTCCTCTGCTCTGCACACTCATTAGTTTGTAGCATGCAGGTCTGTGAGGCAGCATGCATTTAATTTTTCCACTTATACACTATCTGTACCTTTTACCCTGAGCAGCTTTTTTGACCTTTTTCTGGATAGTCTTTTATTTGTCCATATGCGTGTCAAAGCAGTGCCTTCCTCAAAACAGCCCAGAAGGAAGGTGTCCGAGCCCTCCAGAGAGAGAGTGCTGCCCCCATCCCAGCTGACATGATTCCTGGGCACTAGAACCTGATCCCACCTTTTCTTTTGCACCTCCAATTCCTGCCCAGTTCATTGTCATCAATCCTGTAACTTTCAAAGCTGCTTCTGCTCTACACATAGAGCCATTCAGATTGTGTCTATGCGCTTTTGAGTTCTGTGTCTGTGCCACCACATTGGAACCTTATCCTGCACTCTGAGATCCCCAAGACAGCACGCTACCAGAACAAGTCAAAGACACCATGTGGCTAGTGTCGCTGTACCATGTCACAGGGAATATTTTTAGCATTACAATGCATACGCTGGTCCTCTTCCTCCCATAATGTAATAAGCCTTGCAGTCCCATGCTGTCATTACTCTAGCTTTTCACTGACCTTGCACCTTCTCTGCCAGTTTCAACTATTCCATAAGAAGAAGGAGGGGAAAAAAAAGGGAGGCTCTAAGGGTTGGCAGCGCTGTATCAGTGTAACAACATTATCCAGTCAGACACCAGATTACATTAAGCCGAATTAGGAACATCGAGCCTGCAATACCAGGGATGCAGACATCAGTCCTTACAGCCCTCTCTCCTCTAATCCCTTCCATAAGATAATTAAGCTCCATTTTAAAAGTAGTTTTTCATGCTCCCACCCCGTGGCAATGCTTTAGTCACCAGGTAAGGGCTATGGAGACAGGGACATTCTCTATTCTCCTACAGAAGCAGTGAAAATCAATACATGGACAAACCCAATGGACAGGGCAGTGCTTAAGAGCAGTTCTACATTCCTGTGCAAAAGATAGTGTCATGATTGTAAGCCCAAACTAAGAGTTGGGCCCAATTAACACTGCACCTTAGTTTAACAGCCTTCAGCCTTGGGACTGTCTGAAAAACACTCTTCCTGATCAAAAGCAGGAGGCACACAGCTTCTCATCTGAAGTTCTGCCTAACAAGAGTGAGTCTTCCTTGCACTACATGGCTGCTTGGACTCAGCATCAGCTCTCCCAGCTGAATCAGAGCACGAGATTTGCCATTCTACAATCTTGCTCTGCAAAGATCCACTACCGTGTTGGTCAGGTCACATTCTCCAGTACCCCTGTATCTCAGCTCACATCCTTAGTTACAGCAACAACTATAGCTTGCAGAAATTTTGCATGAAACAGTACTACGAGGGACTACACAAATACTGTGGTTGGACTTGCTCTTAAGCATTAATGTTTGGGTGCACTCTGGTGAACTCAAGCTATTAGCAGGACAACAAAAATAGCACCAAGACATTGAAACAGTGAACCTTCAGATTGCAAAGAATGCCAAAAAAGCAAACAAAAGTGGATTTTTTTTTCCCCCCCAAAGTGCAGTGGGGAAAGAAACTGGTATTTAAAGATTACTTTCCAATTATTTTAATTTGTGAGATTGAGAAACTGGAAGTGAAACAGTTCAGTTGAAAGCACATTCCTCTATGTAGCAAGACCAGAGTAAAGAGCCCCACACAAACCATGTTCTGGTAAGGACATAGCAGAGAATTTCAGCTTAAATGATAAAAGGTTTTCATTATCAAGTGAAAACTATGGGGCTAGAATAGATATACTCACTTAACCTTAACTGCTACTGCAATAATAAAGCCTCTTAACAAAGAGTTCTCTTCTTTTGATCAGAAGATTTATATTCTGCTAGCACCCGCTAGACTGTTAGAGCTGACATAAAATGCTCTACAAATGATTCTGTATGAATGACTTATAGTACATCCCTTCCTTCTTCCCCACAACTTAATTAAGTTTTGACGTTCTACAGTAGATATGGCTTTCTGATAACACCACATGCACAGAGTGTATTCCTAGTTATACAGGAAGTCTTGAGTAGCTATTGAATTCAACTCCAGTGCCCAGGCAACCTTCCAGGTAGAGCATAGAGGTAGTTTTTAAATTCTTGCCTTTAGAAGCAGAAGCTGGAAGTGAGGGTAACTGTGTAAGAAACCTAAATAGTGAATTTGCACTTTTTAAGGCTTTTTACATTGACTTAAATGGCACTTACCCAGAAAATACTGATATGAAAAGAGTTCAGTGTTCCACACATGCATCGTTTACCTTTCAAAGCTTTACTCAGTCAAATAAAATAGTGGCTTTGCCTAGTCTTCCATCCTCAGAATGAATATACGATTATGACTGTATGTCAAATTCAGATTTTTCTCTCTCCTCTGCCCTAAAGCGCATGCATGGAGAACATATTTATTTATGTAGGGTTTTTTGCTTTAAAAACCAACCAGGATTTCCAATATAAGTTATAGAGTCAGAGCACAAAAGCACTGTCGGAGTTTCCAAACGTCCGGCTAGACCCAGTGGCCTGTGCACACCCAGGGTGGGGACAGAACTTTACTGAGTAACCTCTGGCCGGGCAGCACACACGCCAGCACTAGCACTTTGGGCTTGCTTTAAGTGACTTTGCAGAATATGGAAAATAACATAAACTTCCTCTGTTATGATACAACATGCACACACAAACTCTCCTTCTTCTCATCCTGTCTACCAGCAAAAACTTGCATGTGCAATCAGCAGAAATCATCTTGCAAGTCATTACTGTTACTAGATCCTGTTTTGACCAGGTTGGTTCCATTTTCTGTTTTGCACTCCCCCAGAGCCACAGCTATTTAAATCGTAAGAATAGACTCAAAATAAATGGAGAAGCGAAGCAGGGAAAGCCATTTGTGTTTCTGTACTGGAGATACAATTGTGGAGTGGAGGCTGGCACCTCGCCCTCAGACTGCACGCATTGCAGAGCCCATTTTGGCTCAACTCAGCTCAGGGCAAACTGCAGCAGGCTCGCTGGCTCCGACACCTAGCAAGAGAGCAGGCTGCATGCTCAACTTCTCAGCAAACATACACATTGCAGAAAAAACAGAAGGATTTTCATGAAACTTCTGTGTGACCATCCTTCAGGCAGCCCCTGTGTATCCTCCTACAACCTCATCTTCTCTCTTGGGTGGGTCCCCACCAGTCACATTCTTCCCCCTGCTCCAACCCCACCAGTGTTTCTAGTCTTCCTTACTGAGCAGGACTTCAAGGAAAATAAGAACTCCAGGTGAATTAACTGCTTTTTCTTTATTTAACGGGTTTGCAGGACTAATCTGAGTGCACATTGTTAATAGGTTATTTTACCCTTTTCCATTTTTCCTGTTCTGATTACCAAGCTGTTATTTAATAGCCCAGAGTTCACAGACTCAGAATAAAAGATGGAAAGCTTCAAACCCTACTGTAATCTGTCAGTGCTTACAACATAACATACAAGTCTTAAGGAGGCCAAAAGCATTGCATTTTGGGCAGGATAAATCAGATGTGTAAGAAGAAAACGCAGCAAAAGAAAATTCTCCTTTTGCTCTGCTGTGCAAAAGACAGTGCTCTCATTCAAAGCATAACTGAGGTTCATGATAAAATATCCCATTACCTTGATAGGCCCAGGTATTAACATATGTATGCCAAACCAAATTGCATGGTTTGGAAACAAACCTTGTACAGAGCTAATCCAGGGCTGACTTTGAAATTAATTTAACTTCATTAGCAACTGGGCAGACCCCAATACTCCTGAATCATGCACAGTAGTAGTAGAAGCACCAGTTTAAGAATTTAGAAGTCATTTTATTGTCCTCTTTGAGCAAAAATCTAACAATTTATAGTCACGTATGAGGATAGCACATTTAGGTGTATTATATACAGATACATACCAAAGAAAAGTCTATCCAGAACCTGTTATTTTCTGGCAATTGGAAAGTATTTTCTCCTCTGACATATAGCACAGCTTTCAATGACCAGGGTTTGAAAAGCCAATTAACTACTTCTTCCTAAGTCCACGCAATTACAGACTGTTTTATATTCTTGAGAAGTTACCTTTTGAAAAGTACACAATGTGATTTTTGGGTCTTATTTAGAGAACTTCAAAAAATGCTGATGGAAGATTTCGCAATTGGAAAGTATTTTCTCCTCTGACATATAGCACAGCTTTCAATGACCAGGGTTTGAAAAGCCAATTAACTACTTCTTCCTAAGTCCACGCAATTACAGACTGTTTTATATTCTTGAGAAGTTACCTTTTGAAAAGTACACAATGTGATTTTTGGGTCTTATTTAGAGAACTTCAAAAAATGCTGATGGAAGATTTCTGTCGGAAAATAAACATTCATCAAAAAAATCACGATGTTTTCGGAAAGTGTCAACAATTTATAGTCACGTATGAGGATAGCACATTTAGGTGTATTATATACAGATACATACCAAAGAAAAGTCTATCCAGAACCTGTTATTTTCTGGCAATTGGAAAGTATTTTCTCCTCTGACATATAGCACAGCTTTCAATGACCAGGGTTTGAAAAGCCAATTAACTACTTCTTCCTAAGTCCACGCAATTACAGACTGTTTTATATTCTTGAGAAGTTACCTTTTGAAAAGTACACAATGTGATTTTTGGGTCTTATTTAGAGAACTTCAAAAAATGCTGATGGAAGATTTCTGTCGGAAAATAAACATTCATCAAAAAAAATCACGATGTTTTC